ACACAAAACCAAATGAAAATGTTCTGTGATAATTTATAAGCTTTAAAGAGAAATTCAGAAATCCGGGTAATTAGAATTCTGTTGTAACCGAAGCTGGAAAAAGGTGCAGCGTGGTGATACTAGCATCATTGCTCTTGTTTTGCATAATTCTGCACGTTTTGGTAGCCAGGAGAAAGGCAAAGGGACAGGAGCCTTACCCCCATTCTTTCACATTCACATTTCACCCCTGGGGGGAGCCATCTATTGAAACCTGACTGAACATGGGCTTCCTGAAAGCCCTTTTAATCAGAGGAGGGAGAACGTGTTGGGGGCACTGTTGAGCCACTGGATCAGGGGACCGAGCCTTCATGTGGAAATGCTTAGGTGGCTGCGTTCTTCCCCTGCATCTTATAGTCAGGGGAAGGGAGAGCAGAGTGGAACCATAGAATATCATACTACCTCAAACACATCCAGTCTTAGTCTGATTTCGGAAGCTAAGCAAGTTCCTTGCATTTTTCAAAAAAAAAAAAAAAAAAGAGCCGTATTTTTAGATAATTTAGTAGAGGCACCACACATATCAAAGCTGTTTAATATTTGGGTGAAAGTAGCAAAAGACTTCAGGATGGAACAGGAAAGAAAACCGGCAGAGATGATGCCAACCATTGCCAACAGTATTTGTGTACTGACTCTCGCTTTAAGACACCTTCCTATGAACCTTTCAATCAAGCTGGCTGTGGGTCCAGTCCCTCCTTGCTATTAGACACTAGTAGCTTTGCTCAGATGGGGTGTTCAAGCAGGAAGGGAAAGGAATGGCCAGAGCGGCTTTATTTGGTTAGTGTACTCCTTGAATATGCCTTGTACTGAGTCGAAGCAGTGGTGCCTCTAACTGAAGTGTGGTTTATATTGACTGGCAGCAGTTTTCCAGAATCTTGAGACAGGAAAGTTTTCACAGATTTACCTTGAGGTGCTATGGAATGGGCTTGGTATGATTCGCACCTGGTCTACACCGAGCCCATGGCCTCTCCTTTGTGTGTCCCAGTAGCTGTGTTGTCGTTTTTAAGATACCCAAATACCTTATCTTTTAAAAAAAGTTCTGAGTTATGTGCCGTAGCCATCTTAAGCCTTCATCACTTGTTAGCTTTTGAATATTCAGAAATAACTCTGTTATCAAGGCAGCTGTTTCCTAGAAAGACTGAAACAGTTGCCTTGCCAAGAGAATTTCCCTTTGCCTGTCTTTTGCTTCTCTAATTAGTCTAACTACAGACCAGCCCCATGTCTCTGGGAAGATTGCGAGCAGGGTCTGAAAGTGATACTGGAATGTTATTTAATATCATAAAGTGTGTGACACAAGGTCAGATCACAGAAAGATACTATAAATTACCTGTACATAATTAGACCAATGTACAGTAGTACTAAGCAGGGTACTTTATGTGTAGAGCAGTACCTGTCTTTATACATGTCTTTATAGCCATCTCTTTAACAATTTATTCTGCTGGGAAAACAGCCCTGAATTGAGGTGTTAAGAATTTTTTGACAAGTCAGTAAAAATCAGCCATTTTGTAAACTTGTTCCACTTTAATTCCCTTTCCTGGTTAACTGTTGCATAATTTGTTACTTTTGCCAAAAGTGCAATTCCTTCTCCTTGATTGATCACAAAGGACTCAATAATTTGGTCCTACACAAATACCTTTTGAATATGAATGAATTATATTGGCAACTGGAAGCCCTTTATTTCGTGCTGTATGATCTCAGGATGAGAGCAGCCATAGAGTGTTAAAATTCAAACAATATATATTCTCACCATTTAGCATTTCTTTTTTGTCGTCCGTGACATATCTCATGGCCAGCAGACTTGATTGTTCTGTGAGTAAAAATATATTGCTTTGTCTTGTGACAGACAGTAGCACTATAACATCTCGGGAGGGCAGTTGTTAAAGTGGAATGTATCTCTGTGTAATGAACGTTCATGATGTAGCTGTTCTCTGACCTGTGAAGGCGCCATAAAACTTGCTTTCAGGCTGTAGTTTAGCTTTTAAAAAGTAAAAACGAAAGCAAAGCTTTCTTTTTTAGTAGATGCGCGGTGCCTCTACTAAATTATCTAAAAATACGTGGTGGTTTTTTTTTTGAAAAATGCAAGGAACAGGTTTGGATAGTGGAACATGCTTCCTTTTAAGATAGAGCAAACTGGTAAAAGAAGTACAGTGGTGCCCCGCAAGACGATGTTAAACTGTTCAATTGAAATCACTGTCTTGTGAAAACATCGTCTTGCGAAATGCGATTTCCCATTGGAATGCATTGAAATTAGTTTAACGTGTTCCAGTGGGGACAAATCATCATCGTTTTGCGAAAATCGCCCCGAAGGAAGCTATTTTGCGAAGTACCGATCAGCTGTTAAAATCGCTGTCTTGCGAAGCATCAGTCCTGAAAACACCCATTTTGCAAAGCACCAATCAGCTGTTAAAATCGTCGTCTTGCAAAAATCGGTCCCGGGGGAAAAATGCCTTGCGAAACAGGGTCCAAAACATCGTCTAGTGAAAATCACCCATAGGAAACACTGTTTTGCGAAGCGCTATAGCGATTGCAAAAACTCATCGTCATGCGGATTCTTCATTTTGCGAGGTAATAGTCTAGCGGGGCACCACTGTATTGGCTCCAGTGAAGGAACAAATTCAAAACACCACAGTTATGTATAGAGTCACCCTGTGGCTACAGATCAGAGATGGCAGCGTGTGGCCTTCCAGATGATGTTGTACGTCAACTTCCACCAGCTTTGGTCTAGGACTGCTCAGAGTTGCAGTTCAGTAGCATTTGGAGGGCCATTTGTTTCACGCCTCTGCTGTAGAAGTGACTATACCCAGTCAAATGAATACTGAAATCACCTGTAAAAACATACAGCATTTTAGCAAATTCCAACTTCCATGTTGTTGTTATGTGTCATCAAGTCACCTCTGAATCATGGTGAACCCTGTGACCTCCAACATATCCTGTCATCAGCAGCCCTTATCAGGTCTTTTAAACTCAAGACTGGTTTCCTTTGTGGAATCAATCCATCTCATATTTGGTCTTCCTCTTTTCATACTGCCTTCAACCTTTCCCAGCATTATTCCCCCCCAAGTATCCTGCCTTCTCATGATGTGCCCTAAATAGGACAGCCTCCATTTCAACATTTATTTATTTTTTTACCTCATTCAGGCTTGATTTGACCTAGGACCCACTTGTTTGTCTTTCTGGCAGTCCAGGATATCTTTGTTGTATTTTTTACTTAATGTATTGAGGTATGAGAGAAACTGCTAATAGCCTGTGATGAGTGTTTCTCTAGATATAGGAGAAGCTTTAACTGACTGCTATCTTGCCATAGATGTCTTTAAAGTGACAGTAACTGTCTCAAGAGTAAGTGAGTTCACATCTTGCTGGCGATACAAGCAGGGCCCCTTCTTTCTGTTCAAAGACACCAGACAGTTTTTTTGCCTTAGGACTGAATCATCAAGCAAGCCAGAAGACTGAAAGAATGCATAAAAACAAAACTGAACATGACAGATGTCACTATAAACACCCAAGATGCATTAATGCAGAGAGCTGTGACTTACAGATAACATTTATTACAATTTTTAAAAATCAAATGCCACCCGACATTGCTGACATAAATTACTCCTTGGGATGTGTTTGTAAAGGGCTTGCATTCAGAACAAACATTTATGATAGCATGGATGAGCCGAAAAAATCTCTAAGCCTCCTGCCTAAATTTAGGCAAACTCTTTGCACGCTGGAGAAAATTGCAGAGTTACTGTACTGGGGGATGGGGTAGCAGATACTCTTTTAAAATAAAAGTAAATCACATTGTTAATCAGCAGCAGTGGTTTGCAAATGAAAAGAGATGATTGAGCATGGAGGTTAGATTGCAGTGGAGGGGAGGCCCACTTTTCTGTATGCACAGACAAACATCTCTGAAGCTATAGTGATTTTTAGTGGACTATTTAGTATCCTGTCTCAGCACTGTCTTTCTCACTCTTCCAATATGCTACGGTGTTGAGGACTGTAGATTCTACTTTATGTTGCGAGAAATGAAGGGGAATAGCCAATACATTTTGTGTAAAAGTTGATTTGCAGTGCCGATGTTGGAGTAGTGAAGCTAACAGAAATACCTGCTTATTTTGAACTTATGCAATAAGGTATCATTGTAGGAAGGAAGAAAAAATCCTTTACTTATTTCATCTTTAGACTGGTGAGGGCTAATGCATGTTTGCCTCCAAACCCAAGGGACTGTGTGGGAAGAAGCCTCTCTGTAGCTATAGTGGACACCAGTTTTCAAGCTGCTACAAACTTCTGTGCTTAGAAATCCCACTTCTAGGTCTGAACAAAGAGATGGGCAGTGTTTGCCCAGCCTCCATGGTACTACATTTTTTGTTACAAATGGAAATGAAGGAATCCCTTTTGTGGCATTTACCTTAAAGAAACTGTCCTAAATCATTTGAAAAGGTTTTTTCCCCCCTCTGTGTGGTGAAAAAAAAGAACAGTTTTTCTCCGTTACTTATGGAATGAGGTCATCTTCTCTAATTTAGAGGACCTCCATTCTCTCATATGGAAATTCTTGTGCCGTCTGTTCCTTGTGGTGTTCAACATTAGAAGCATCTCAAGTGATGTGAGAGAAAACTTGGCCCGTGGCAGTGTTAGGCATTTTATCTCATTTGAATCTTAAGGGTTGTAAATTTCCAACGCAATTGTAAATAGCTCTGTTAATGTACTTAATAGTGAACCATTTTCAGAGGCCTAAGAATTGAATCTGTAGCTCTTTCTTAGAAAACCTGCCTTATTGATGGTTGGGTAACAAGTTGTCTGATTTTTCTTGTTTGGACCTGTAGATTTTCTGTATATTCGAAGCTGTGGCATTTCTTTGTTTCTTGATTTGAACCCATGCTTCTCAAAATGGCCTTCGTTCTATCTCACTGCCTTGTGTGTTTTGAAGAGCATTTGAAGAGGGAAAGCATCCTTACTGATAAAGCTGCTTGCTGTTTCCATTTCAGGAAAGCCTCACAGCATTGGCAACTCTGAACGCATTCAGCTCTCAGGAATGTACAACGTTAGAAAAGGGAAAATGCATTTGCCGGTCAACAGATGGACAAGACGCCAAGTTATCCTATGTGGAACGTGCCTAATTGTATCGTCAGTGAAAGAGAGCCAGACTGGAAAGATGCATGTCCTCCCCTTAATCGGTGGAAAGGCAAGTCAAACATTCAGTTTCTCTCCTTAAACAGAAAACATGCCTGATGTTAACTCCAAAATAATAAACTGGAGCTTGAGGAAGGGAATTCAGGTGCTGCAGCTATTTAGAATAGATCTTTTGAATCAGTGGGAATTTGACAAGTTAATGAAGCCTCTGTATTGGTTTTGCCACAGTTCAAGTAAGGAGATGCGTAGGGCTTTTTGAAACTGAAAACAAAAGAGTCATACGGGTCCATGAGTGAGTCTTGAAACACATAATGTGCACTCTCACCATATCTCTAAAAGTGGGATTACCTCTTTTAAGGAATACAAGACTGAATATAGCAATCTCATATCAAATCTGTCCCTTCTTGTTAGTTTAACCTGGGCGTTTGCTGACCACTCTGCTCGTTGTTGCTCTGGATGGCTTTCTCTCCAGCAAAAAAATAAAATAAAAATAAAAAAGGCACATGTGTCTGAATACCAGTTGCTGAGAAGCAACTATGGGAGGGTTTCATTGTCTTTATGTCCCACTTATGTGTTTTCCATAGGCATCACTCAGAAAAACATTTTCCATAGGCATCACTCAGAAAAACAGGATGCTGAGTGAAACAGCCCTTGTTCTGATTCAGCAGGTCCCTACTTAAATTTTTACCTTGTACAGTGATGCCCCGCTTGACGATGAAATCGCTTGATGACGAGACCACTATAGCAAACGATGGCTCCTATGGGTTTTTTCGCTTTACGTCAAGTAGCTGCCTTCTTCGCGAACCGTTTGTTCGCAAAACAATGTTTTTTCTGGCTCTGCACAATGGCTTCCCTTTGCAAAATGGCTTCCCTCCCTTCGCAAAATGGCTGTTTTCCGGACAGAAGCTTCGGAAGACAGTGATTTTAAACAGCTGATCGGCGGTTCTCTATGGGCGATCTTTGCTGGACAATGAAGTATTTCCTCATTGGAATGCATTAACCGGTTTTCAATGCATTCCAATGGTTTTTTCCCCGCTTGACGATGATTTCGCTTAACAGCAGTTTTTCTGGAACGGATTGTCATCAAGCGGGGCACCACTGTATCTTGATCTGCAAAACACCAGACAGTATAACATTGGGGGAGGAGCTGCAGAAATGCACAATGTAACGACAGCAACATTGTGGGATAAGATGGGGTAAATGTTGGGCAAGGTGGGGATAAGACAAACTACAAGTCCTTTGACATTTATACTGGTTCATTGTATGTGTGTGTGTGTGTGTGTGTGTATGAGAGAGAGAGAGAGAGAGTGAGAGAGAGAATGAATGGGGTCTGCATTTGGAAGCATTACTCTCATGACCTCCAGAATGTTTATAGGTGGATAGATTATGTGCTGTTCAGAAGATTTCCGAGGCATTGCGTGCATTTGGGTCTTTTTGGAAAATGTGAGAAGACTTTACTTTGTGTGGAAAGAATTTCACTATTGTTGCCAGTCTAAGATGTACCAAATTTATGCAGAAAGTTTGATTTAAGGAAGGTTCACCACAGAGGTTTTCATAGCTTGTATTAATGGTTACTGGTAAAAAAGGGAGGACATCACTGGTATTAACTCATTTTTAGAAACCAGGCCAAAAATCAAGTGAGCAAGCAAGCAAATAAGGCACAGATGGGAGACTTTAATGTGTCCTACAGAGATGCATGAAAACCTCAGCTAATTCTTTATCAGATTTTTCCCCCTAGAAAAAGGCTTATATATATAGGCATCCTTAAGTCTAGAGAGACTATGGTAACATGCTCTGAATCGAGGAGTGTCCTCTCCAGAGCATGAAGCCCGGGTAAAGTAATATGGAGGATAAGCTGTTACCCAAGCAGCAGATCCCCCCTCTCCACATTGCTGAAATGGTCCAATGGAAAGGCAAGAGCCAATACGACTGGTTCCAGCAACGTCGCAGGAGTTGGCAGAACGACACGAGCTGCCTTCGGGACTCCAGCTCTGGATTTTGCCTCTAGGTTAACTCCTGAAGCCTTTTCCATGAGTGGATATAGCCACAAGGCAGTGGAGGTTTGAAATCGGAGTTTTCCTTCTCGTAGATGGGCTGCTTTCCATGGCTGACGAGCCCCACCTACCCGGCCTGCTCTAATAGTGTGAAAGTATGATCTGACCCTTAAAACTTTCCAGCCTCCCAGGCTTATGCAAATCTAATTGGCATTCCTATTTACCATATTAAGGCCAGAGATATAATTTGAGAATTTCTGGGACACACTCTTTTAAATCAGAAATTCCCACCCCCTAGGCCCCACCCCCAGGCCATGTGGTGAGGAGACAAAAAGAAAGCCCAGAAAAAAAGAAAACCTCAGCAAAACATCCATTCAAACATACCTGGCCTTCACCCTCAGCCCAGCTTCCCAGGGAAAAAGGCAGAAAAAGGCTTATCAGTAAATTATTCTATACATTAGAAACACAAGCTGTACTCCTGTGTTTCATTTGCATCTCATCAGCTTTGCATATTTGCTGCTCCATTTCACTCAGGGAAGAGTTGTGTGGTGGATTGGAACAACAGAAGTGGGATTCTTATGACAACATGTTGGTTCAAAGATTTAGTGGTAAAGTGAATTACTAAGAACTGTAACTGGAGGCTTTCAGATTTGCTCTACAGTTACTGCTAGCTTGACAGTACAGTTCTGTGGCTGAGATCCAGTAGCAAGTCATGACTAGAGTAGGCCCATTAAATCAGTGGGGGTTTAGTAAATCATCTTTTCCATATGTTCCATTGATTCAGTATGCCTGCTCTAGTAGTGACTTGCTACTGGTTTTTGGCCACTATATATTTATATTGCAGTAAGTACCCCCAACTAAGTATGCACAGAATTGCAGCGTGATTTCCATGTAAGGCCATTACATTTGTACGGTTCTGTGGATTTTTGAAAACTTGCTTTCCCCAACAATCTAAGAACAAGATGAATATGATCTGAGCTGTTCTCTGTGTTTGGAGGAGGGGGTTGCTTTGATCCCAACAAGGTAGCTATCCTGTGGATCATGCAACTTTGAATCTTGTGAAACACTGTGTCATTTGATGCTGGATAACAATTATATAATTTTAATTCTTAATTGGATTCGTAGTTCATCGGCACTTCAGAGCTTTTACCTTATGAATTGTAGTAATATTTTTATTCTTTCGTTTCCCCTGTCGTTTTCAAATGCAGGTTGAAGAAGTTAAAAAGCACCAGCACTGTTTAGCATTTAGCTCTTCTGGACCTCAGAGCCAGAGTTACTACATTTGTTTTGACACTTTCACTGAGTACTTGCGGTGGCTTCGGCAAGCTTCAAAGGTAAGACTCCATGCCATCATTGCAATTCTGATATATTTTTGCACAAAATAGTCAGTTTTATTCATGAACTGTGTGTGTAATTGGGAACTTTTTGAATGCGTATAGGCCAGCACTTTCACCCATATTAAAGATGACGGGAAGAGGCAGAAAGAGTGTTTCCTTCAACTTCCACCTGCTAGGAGGAGACATTTTAGTAGATTGGCCTGATTTGAGTGCTGGGTAATACAGAGGTAGCCCTAACCACAGCCTTAATTCGGTGCTAACCTCGGATACATTGAAATTTTCATGTACTTATAAAATAACTCAATCAGTGAAAGTATTTTTTTATACTGATGCACTTATTAAGGACATGGAAAAAGGAACATGGAAAAGCAGCTCTTGCTCTTGATTAGTGTACCATAGGGGTGGCTAGAAGGTCCAACCCTAGTTGTTTTGGACTTCAGTTTCCATGATCCTTGACCACTGGCCATGCTGGCAGGGGCTAGTGAAGTTGAAAACATTTAGACTGTTACTCTCAGAGCATTCCTGCCATGTTAGTATCAGCTGATTCCAACCAGCCATCAGTTTGCTGGCACAACTCTTGGCAATAGTTATTAATTTTATTGCAGATTGGAATGGTGGCTCCTTTTGTGTTACTGCCAGGACAGATTTGATAAAACTTCTATTGGCTTAGTACAGGTGCACTGAAGGGAGTCCTGAACTCAGGCAGATGTGCTGCTTGAAAGGGGTGCTTGTTAGCACAATGTTGTGCAAAGTTGGGCATTGCTTATTCTCCAAAACTGTATGTGTGAGGGTGCTCCATGTGGAGCCTTTATACCAACAGTAGAGAAGGTGTGGTCTTTGAGATGTTGTTAGACTGTGCCTCCCATCAGTACTAAGCAACACAGCTACTGGTGAGGGATTGTGTTATTTTATATATTACTTTATTTATTTTATTCAAATCCCACCTTTCTAGCCAAGCTTGGATGTAGAGTGGCTCACGGAAGTACTAAATTTAAAAAAGTTATGATTTTTTTTTAAAGTTACATAATTTTGAAACACATGTAAATCAATTGGGACAAAATTGTAACCTTGCATTCTTTTGCAGTCCTGACACTGTCTTCCATCCAGTAGAGTCTATGGCTCTCATCACTACCCATCTTTCATGAGTTAGGAGTTGCAGTCAAGCAGCATCTGGAGAGCTACACATTCCCCATTCCTCTTTTGTTACATTTAAATTAGGCTATACTCTCTGCTCATCATTTTGTCTTAAATGTAGATGAGCTGAACTGTATAAAATCATTTAGAAAGTAATAGGGATAGATTTTCAGATTTCTTGGACTTAGGTAAAGGTAAAGATTCCTCTTGACAAACTGTCCAGTCGTGTCTGACTCTACGACACGGCGCTCATCCCCATTTCCAAGCCGTAGAGCCAGTGTTTGTCTGTAGAGTTTCCGTGGTCACGTGGCCAGCGCGACTAGACATGGAACGCCGTTACCTTCCCACCAAGGTGGTACCTATTTATCTACTTGTATTTTTACATGCTTTCGAACTGCTAGGTTGGCAGGAGCTGGGACAAGCAACGGAAACTCACTCTGTTGCGTGGATTCGAACTGCTGATTTTTCGACCTTGCAAACCAGAGGCTTTTGCAGTTTAACCTGCAGCACCACGACAACCCCTCTTGGACTTACACCTCCCATATTTCTCCATTCTTGGAGTTCTTCCTGATAGGCAGCAGTCGCCTTATAGAGACTTCATTGTGGCTCACCTGAGACAAAAGCCTGAATTGGAATGCTTTAGGCTTAGCTAAGCCTAGCTTCATGCAAGTTTTTTGTTCCTGCCCTCGTGATAGCTGGGAACTAGCTAAGCCTCAAAGCCTTCCAGTTGAGGCCTTTTTTCTCATGTGAACCCCATTTAGGAGGCTGTAAGGTGACTGCCTATCATGTAGAACCCCCGTAATAGAGAATTATGAAATATGTAGTCCAAGAAATCTGAAAATCCCACCCTTAAAAAGTAACTTTCAGCAAAGATTTTTGACCGTTTGCGTGTATATCAGTAGATGTTGTGTTTGCTTACAAAAAATGCTTTTCCTTTAATACGCATCCCTTATGTGGTAGTCGCTACCTATTATAATGTAGGTAGTGACAGATAATCTCTCAAGTAACTTTCAGCAAGATTTTTGACCGTTTGCATGTATATCAGTAGACGTTGTGTTTGCTTACAAAAAATGCTTTTCTTTTAATACACATCCCTTATGTGGTAGTCGCTACCTACTATAATGTAGGTAGTGACAGATAATCTCTCCTTATCACAACAATACACTCACAACAAGACACACTAATCACCCATCTATAGAAAAAGACAAAAGCCCATCTCACAGCCATAAATACTCCACTCCCAGGCCAACTACACCAGAGCACAGAGTACTGTCCTCTGAAGATGCCAGCCACAGAGACTGGCGAAACGTTAGGAAGAACAACCTTCAGAACACAGCCAAAGAGTCTGAAAAACCCACAACAACCATAACATTTGTGTGCTTGCTGATTTATCATCTTCTTAGCCATTCAGCCCTTCTTTCTTGCTTTAATTTCTTTCTTTGCAAATCAAAGAATTGGGCCACATGGAATTTCCTCAGTTGTTCTTCCCACCTTTCTACTATGTTTCAGTCAATAGTATGGTAATTGTTTAGTATGTGTAGTATGCACATTAATTTTGGCCACCCACTTTCTGGCAGACCAGTTATTTTATAGTTTTCTGTTGTATGTTTCAGTAATTAAGGCACCTCTTACTAAGTGAATGTGGCCTAAGACAGTGATTGAACCTTCTCTTTTAAATTACTGTTTGCATGTGGTTACTTTGTACCATCCTGTGCCTTCTTTTTCTCTTTGTTCAGCTGTGTTGGGAAAGTTGCCAGCATAAGCCCATCTCTTCCAGTAATCCCAGTGACAAATTCTTGTCTTTGCATGCTGACAGTATATAAATTTGCTAGCTGTAATGGAGCACAGAAATAGGCAAACTTAAAACCATTAAAATTACTTGGTGGTGTTGAAGTGTATGTTCTCTGTCAGATTTGTAGAAGATTGTTTATATTGCAAATGTATTTTAGGAAAAGTTGATATAAAGTGATTCTATCCAGTGAGTTACAAGATGACAAATTTCTCTAGTCTAATGCATTTGAAAATAGGTAAGAAGACAATGAATACAAGCAGCCATTTCATCATATGGTCACAATTACAATATACCTGTAACTACTTAGTAAGTCTCTATCCTTTATCCAAGCCTTACAGTATTAAGGAAAAGTTTGGCAACCCATATAAGCTTGTTTTAAATATTTATGTGAATTTGTGTGAAGTGTTTTGAATATGAAGCCATTATCTGAGGTTAGGAAGTAGAGACCGACAAAAGCAGGGGTAGCTGGCCAGGTTGGCACAAAACCAGTTCCAAAATCCATATTGAAGTGATGCCTTTATTAGACATGCAGACATCAAAAGCCAGAAAAAGTCATGTCCGACTCTAGGGGGCTGGTGCTTATCCCTGTTTCCAACCCATAGAGCCAGCATTTGTCCGAAGACAGTTTCCGTTGTCACGTGGCCAGTGCAACTTAGTCACGCAACACTCTTACCTTCCCATCAAGATGGTCCCTATTTATCTACTTGCATTTGCATGCTTTTGAACTGCTAGGTTGGCGAGGAGCTGGGACAAAGTGACAGGAGTTCACTCCGTCGCATGGATTTGATCTTACGACTGCTGGTCTTCTGACCCTGCAGCACAGAGGCTTCTGCAGATTAACCCGCAGAGGATTCATTTCATTATATCCCTTCCAGAAGGCTGGATATACAGTGCCGGCCCTAAAGACTTTCCTCTCCTTACTAGCCAGGGAGATCTCTGGTTTGCATGCAAAGGAGATAAAGGCTGGATTTTCTGTTAAGAATGTGGTAAGCTTTATTACATATTTTTTTAAAAAAGGAATGCAACTTTTTTTTTTTTTTAAAAAGGGATCATACTGAGGCAGGATAAGAATAGAATAGGGTTCCTTCTGTGGACACAATTTAAGTAGGAAAAAAGAATTTGCCAGCATCTTTCATGAGTACCCAACACAGCAAAAGTTTTTTTTTAAAAAAAGAGGGGGAAGCATTCCCTCATAAGTTTATCTTGCTGGGTTTGTCCGATTCTTTGTCATGGCTGCAGCAAGGGCCCAGCATTCCTTTCGTCTGCTAGGGAGAAGGTGCCTCCAATATTTCTTAAAATGAATTTTAATAATTAAGCGAAACTAAACTAAGGAAGAAAATGGTTGCATACTGTATTTGTTTGCAGGTTTGTGTTTCTGAAAGAAGAGATGATGAAGATGAGAGTCAACAAGAAGGCACCTTGTGTGTTTGAAAAAAAATTCATTTAAATCAGTGGTTGTCAAACTTTGGGGACCCTAGATGTTTTGGACTTTGAGTCTTAGAGTCTCCTTAAGGGATTCTTGGTTTTGAAGTCCAAAATTTTTTTAAGAGCCAGAGTTTGAGAACTGCTGACCTAGGTGAATTTGTTCTAGACTGAACCTTGAAGACGGATGTGCTCTTTTTGCCATTATTGTTACCTTGAAAACGGATGTGCTCTTTTTGCCATTATTGTTATGTTCTATTAAGTCACTTCCAATTTAATGGCAACTCTTTGAATTTAGATTAGATTAGGCATCCTTCAGTCTCGAGAGACTATGGTAACGTGCTCTGTATGGAGGACTTGGAACAGCGTCTAGTGTGGCTGAGAAGGCCAATTTGAGAGTGACAATCCCTTCCACACTGAAGACAAATATAATTTGTCCCCTGTCCAGCTCCCTGATTTTGCTGGTTTTGTGACTGTCTCTTTGCCTCGGCCTGCTGGACAAGGGTCTCTTCAAATTGGGAGAGGCTGTGATGCACTGCCTGCCTCCAGGCTGAACGCTCAGAAGTCAGGGTTTCGCATCTGTGGAGGTCTGTTCCTAAGGCCTTCAGAATCCGCTTGCAGATATCCTTGTATCGCAGCTGTGGTTGCC